TGATCCCATTGTATATTATATGCGACTTTTCAGAAGAAAAATATAACAGATTACCGTAGTCCAAGGTAATGATTCCGAATAAATAAATAATTATCTGCATTCGGAAAGTCAGAAATTCAAATTTCCCGTTCGGAAAGTGGAGATTCGGAAAGGTAATATAATTCTGGAATGTCCCTAGGAAGCCCCAAAATGGCCAAAATACCCCTGAAAATCATCTTCCAAGTGAGAACATAGGGCATTCGGATTGTTGTCGGATTCAGCATAAATAAATCCGCTTTCCTGGTCGGATTGTCGGAAAATAATTCGAAATAAAATCGTTCGGAATCATCACGTTGGACTACGGTAACAGTACAGGTTGTTCCCTTTTGGGACTTTTAGTAAATATGTATGTATGTTACTCACATAGGAACAAGAGGCAAAATACCGGCTTTTGTTCCTAAGTGAGTGCCCGGGTGGTCCCAGTCAACCACACTTGGGTTCGTACCGGCTTCCGGAGAACTTTCGACCGGGTTGGACCCCTCCACTAGTGACCTGCAGCTTTTCTGGGCCGGGGAGGCTGACATGGCGGCCTGTGAGTGGCCAAAAGTTTAGTCCGAAGTTCATTTCAATTGGCTTGCTGCCTTAAGAACAAAGTACAGTGCGCGCGCTGTCGACGGACGGTGCCGATTGAATCTTTCGGGCAGTGCTCGGGGATCCCAGGTCTCTGGGTTAGTGGGATCACGACCGAACCGACGGTCCCAGAACCCGAATGTCCTCGGGTATGGCCGGACCTTCGGACCTTCGAGGGGGGTATGACATGGCGCGCTCCGGAACTTCAAATGGCTTGCTGTCCCGCAGAGTTTTTGAGCGTCAGCGGAACGGACGGAATTCTCTTCTCTAGCTCCGCTCAGCAACTCTTAACTTGGTCGAGAGGGCTTCAGGTAATCCGCCAAAGTCAAGTGCGGCCCATTTTGCTTTCGCTGCCGTCGATCTTCTTTCTGCTCCAATGGCCAAATCGGCCGGTGCTTAGGGCCTAGCTTACATCAAGGTTACATGGTTACATTGTTGTCGCCAATAATTTTGGCTACACCGGGCACAGCATTCATGCCCGGTAGACAGGCTGAATGAGCATCGTGACCGTCAATATCAGCTTTCGGCTTCTGAATTGTCATCAACGGTAGCGAAAGAGTTTTGACAACTTTACCAGGCTTAGGCAGGTTGGAAAAGCTTGACGAGCGAAGCACGTCCGCTTAAAGGGGCTTTGGTGGCTGGTCTGAGGCTATGGGTTCTGCAGTTTTGCTCTCCAAGGTTGCCAAAGCCAAGGCTGCCATTCTGTGCAGACAGGCAGACAGTGCCCAGTTGATAACCAAGTCAGCTGCTGGGGGGGGCCTTCTGTGCCCCCCCTTTGAGAATGCAAGGTACAGGAGCAACTGCAATGCGAAAACGGATAAAGGGTTTTCTGTTAGGGCTGAGAATCGTCCTGAGGCAAAGCCTGCTAGGAGGGCAGCAGCTCAGGACCCGCTCGCGAGCATCGAGAAAGCAATCTCGTCGAGGATTATAAAGCTGGAAAACGACATTGAGGCGGCTGGAAAGGCAGGCAATCTCGAGCGGCGGGATGTGCTGGAGAAGAGGTTGGAAAAGCTGCAAGAGCGATGGATGGCGCTGGTGGAGAAAAGCCTGGAGCTGAAGGTGCAGAAAAGCCTGGTGCTGAAGGGAGGGACGCTTTCCAGGCCGCCAGGTTTGCCTCTTCTCTAATTGTGCATTCAGACCGTCATTGGCCGAGAATCTCCCTGGAGCGGCCTTTCTGGTGCGTTCAGTAAACCAGCGCACAGATACATCAAGGCCGGGGCAGCCAATGTTCTGCTGCGGGGTATTTTCCTCTGTTGCTCGCTGATGTTTTGTTGCTCAATGGGGTTCTGATAATCTGCAGACAAGAAGGCTTCATGATGCAGAGAGTCTGGATCAAACCTCGTTTTGCTGCTCATGAAAGCCTTAGCTGCAGTTGGCTCAACCTGGGACTGCACACGGGGTACTGGCTCGTAGAGCTTTGTTTGTGTGCAGCAGTGGCTGGTCCAGACAGGGGTGAAACTTCGTGGTTGTCTTCATGTGTTGGCATGGCGTCAGGGCTTGCCAGCATCAGTTCTGGCAAGCCTCTGCATTTGAGGCACCTGGGCTGCTTACATAGAGTGCCCATTCTGGGGAACGTTGTGAGCCGTGATTTTGGTCCTAAGGCTTTAGGGATTTGCCAAGCAATCCCTTGGGTTCATGGATCTTCAGCGCTTCTCTTGCGGGCTTATGCCAAAACTGCAGATGGAAACTCTTTATCACGCAGTTGCTTCTACTAATGACCAAAGGCAGTTCAGAGAACGGCTATGTCCAGGGCAGTCACAGTCGCAGTCGCAGTCGCAGTCGCAGGTTGTCACTGAAAGGAGAACTGTTGCCTCTGTGTGCAGCGAAAGCGCCGCAAGGGCTGAGCAACTTCTGGAAGGCCTTGCCGCGCGCAACATGGTCCGATGACGGGAAGCTCATGACTCTGGCGGAGGGAACCAGCTTCATGGGATACGAGAAGTTTGGTGACAAGATGTTCATCCGCGAGAGTTACCATGGGATGGATCAGGAGCTGAAGCGCGTCTTCATCCAGGACGATGGGATCGCGGTGGTGCTTGTTGGAAACCCTGGTGAGCAGGAAGCACGGACACATTTTCTGTTGGTCGACGGTAGAATGTGCATGGTGTGGAGGTCAAACACTGCAGGTTTGCTGGTCGATTGCCCGGGAAATGGCCTCTGAGATCTGACAAGAATTCCCTCCTGCGCAGGGGTCGGCAAGTCCATCTATGGGTTCAGGCTCCTCTACCAGTGGTCATGCGAGCAGCGGCGAGTTGTTGTCGTCAAGAGGGGCACCTGCCCCATCCCAACTCTCCTTACGCCGGATGGGGCGTTCAAACTGGACGCAGCTGGCCTGGAAGCAGAATTGGATGACCCGGACGTCCGGTACGTGGCTCCTTTCATTCTGGTGTGCACCTGTTGTATTTGTTCGTCTAGTGAAGCCGGCTGCCATGAATTTCACAAGTGTGGTGTGCTGTGGATTGTGCTTCGGTTGCTCCATCAATAAAGGAGTACCCGTGAAGTCGCATCGGATCGATGAACGACCTCAAACTTGCTCGACCCCACCCTTCTTGCAGCTCATCTGGGGAGGACATGCATTCTAAGCCTTGCGCATGTACAGCTGAGGGGCGCTGCGTGACCTTTTTCCTTTAAAAGCAGTTCTCACTCTTGCTGGCCACAGGTACCTGGTGGACTCTCTGGACCCGTCCCTCGTCGGTTCGCTGCCCACTAAAGCGAAGATGGTCGTCATCTCGTCCCCCAACAGAAACGTCTAAGAGGTGAGGCCTGCCGGCAGTCTGCTGTGAACGGCACACCGGTACTTGCTGAAGCTCAATCTTGCCGGTGCACTTGTTTTGGTGACTTGCCCAATTGGCGGAATCATCCCAACGCATGGAGTTGTGCCCGGTCAAGCCTAGTCACGCCTTGACAAACCTGTCTGCGTGCTCTACTTCTTGGTGGCAGGAGGTTTGCAAAGGGCCCGGTTACGTCATGCGCTACTTTGACACCTGGTCGCTGGAGGAGCTGCTGGAGTGCTGGAGCCGCATGTTTGCCTGGCAGTCGCAGGAGGAGGTTCAAGAGCGCTTCTATAGGTATGGCGTCCATCTCTCTGGCAATGCAATCGCATTGACCGGCTCTGTGATTTCTGGAAACTCAATCCGGATTGATCAGTTTCGGATTGCCAACAACGGTACCCACGTAATCGTTGAAAGTACCCACCCCTGATGTTGACTCCGTCGAAGCTGATAAGTTGGGACGCTTCTAAGATGCCATCGTGGCAGCCAATTGGCAGGATCGACATCCGTGTGCTATCATCGACGGTCACAGGTCTGACCGCGGGCCAGGTTGTGTTCTTTTAACCAAGCCCCGGGCTAAGTACGTAGCCACGGGCCACTGCCTCTGTATTTCGAGCTGCTTAGCCTGTCAGACTCTTGGGTAGGTGATGACATTTTGGTCCCTGGGGACTTTACTCCTATCGGGTACATCGAGCTTCCGTTCGTGCGGAGACCTACACGGCTCGTCATGCACACTCTGCACGGTTCAAGGGCTCAGGAAGTCCGACGTGGAAAGTTATCGCCGGACGATCCGCCTCACCGGTCCACAGTGTCACCATAGCATGTTCGCGCGTAGGTACGACGGTCCCCTCGGCCTCTGCAATAACCAATCCGGAACTGTCTAAAGGCGGAACCAAGTCGTGCATACGCTCTGTGGAGGCCACTCAATCTTGCTTGCAGCCGTTCCTACATCTGCTGTTCCAAAAAATGATGTGCCTTGAGCTCACGGGGTTGCACCCCTTTGCGTCTCGCTAGAAGTCTTGTCCGCTGTCCGCTCGGTGTGACCACCCCCGTGAAACCCGTCTGTGGAAATCGTCGCTTCTCCAAGCCGAGTATTCACATCGTTCCTTTCTTGGCACTTCGAAAGAGTCTCATGGTGCTGGGCGTTAATTTTGGGCCCTTTTCTCTCCCCGCCGCCTCTACAGATTACCTGTCTCGGTACCCTTGTCCAATATCCGGGCCCCAATTCATACCCTGATCATCTGTTTGCCCAATCCCGCCTGGTAACACCCTGCTGGAACCTTCTGGTTGCTTTCGGCCGTTGACGCGAGCCGCTCCGTATGCATCTGCACTCACATCTTAATCCTCTCGTCCTAAGCCCGGCTCGAAACCCGGATTCTGCACGCTCGCTCTGTATCTGTCTCATTCCGTGGAGTGACTCGGTTCAGTCACTTTGATAAAACCGTCATCTCGACCCGTTCTCCTGTCGCCCCTCCTGCGACTTCAGCGGTACAGGTTCTGTTTCCGACCTTTGCCTGCAACCTCGGACGAGTGTCCCGTACTCGAACCCGATGCCAAACCCGCCCCTGACCCATTCTCAAACCCCGTCTCTCACCTGCCTTCATTGCGCGCTCGTTGAACCACTTTTCGCGTTACTTCGGTCCGTGCAGATGGGGGGGCGTGCCCCGGTACGTGCTGGAGAAGCTCGACACGACGAACCAAAATCTGCTGGAAAGAGCAATCGGCCGGACGGATCTCACCGCTCTCAAGCAGGCGGTGGGAGATCCGGAGTCCCCCCAGGCAGCTAGCCACAAGCTGCTTCACCTGAGGGCTAATCCCGATTTCCAGACGACGTACATGGAGATGGCCTCCCCGTATGTCCAGGAACTGGTGGCGTTCAAACTTTGGGAGAACGAATCGCTGGCCCTGGAACTTTTCCTTAGCGCGGCGACAGACGATCCGACCGTGGCAGGTTTTCGGGGTAACCTCTTCGAAGGCTTCTGTCACCGAAGGCTGAAAAATGGGGGTACTTTCAGGGTCAGGGACCTTGCTTCAGGCAGCGTGGACGAGATCGTCCTGCAACCAACAAGAAAAGCCCTTGCCTTTGCAAGCTGGCAGGAAGTGGAAGCGGAGACGGACGATGAGCGGTATTTCCAGCCGCTGAATAGGCGAACCGCGGCCGTGGACGGGGGGATGCAGCCGGACAAGCTTTTCCAGTTCACGGTGTCCGCCGAGGGGAAGAAGAACAAGGGGCTGGTATTCGCGAGTTTGAGGGATGCGGTGCGCAGCATGAAGAACAAGTCCGAAGTCAAGCTGTTCTTCGTGTTGCCGCCAGATCAGTTCTTCGAGGCCAAGGAAGTGAAGATTGCGGGCAGCGGTAAGGGGATGGAAGGAGTAGCGCAAGTCCGGAAGGTTTTGAAGCAGTTCGCGCTCGAAATCAGTTTCAAGCGGTAATCGCCAAAACGAGGTTGAGGTTGAGGTGGCTTAGGACCTGGCTATCGCATGTTGCTTTGTGCTAACCAGGAAGCTACTTCATGCTCACCAGCAGCAGTCACCCTATGGAGAGAAGTGAAAAGGACTGTGGGATTTTTAAATTCTCACAGCGTCCAAGTCTTAGTGGCGGGACTTCTATGATTTGGCTCATGGCTCGTGCGATCGCTGGTATCCTAGCCCAATGAATTGTCAGCGCCGATGCGGTCAGTTTGTAGAGGTACAATCGAAATCACTTCATTCAAATGAAAAGATGGCAAGCTTTGCAATCGTCGATCATAACCTACTCCTGAGCACGTCATAACCGCCCAGATGCATGCAATCGATAGTTTGACCGGCCACGTTTACTTTCACTTCAATCCCGGTCCTACTTCACGTGTCACTTTTAGTCTCTGTCACGTGCTCCAGATATGCGCTCGTGCATGGTTTGCATTTGCATATATGTGGCGGCATGACATAT